CCAGTGGGGGGTGTGCAGGAGGCAGCTGATCGATGTTTCTAACTCTCTATCCCTCTCCCTCTCTGTAAAAAAATCAATAAAATATACTTTTTTTAAAAAAAGTAGTGTAGTCCCAGGTCATACTGATTTAGCAGGGATTTGACAGCCATGGGAAAAGAAAAGGAATATGTTACAATAAATTATGTAAGTAATAAAATAATATGCAAAGCAATGTATTGTGTGAGTCGGTGGTTTCTAGCCATCAATTCCCACACTTTTTTGTTTGTTTCTTAATCTTCATCCGAGGATATTTTCTCCATTGCTTTTTAGAAAGAGTGGAAGGGAGGAAGGGAGGGAGGGAGGGACAGAGACAGACACACACACACACACACATATCCCGTTGCCCCAGCCATGGCAGGGATCAAACCTGCAACCCAGGTACATGTCCTTGACCGGAAATCAAACCCATGACCCTTCAGTGCTCGAGGCAACTCTTTAACCACTAAGAACACTGGGGAGAGCAATTTCCACACTTCTTGCTGAGCGTGACAGTGATTTGATCTTGAGCTGACCTAAGAAGGAAGATAAGGAAGGAATGTGAAATAAGACATTTCCCAAACCTTAGAATTTGGTCACAAGCAAGCAAAAAGGGGACGAGTGTGCAAAATGAGGCAGCTTTATGTATGATCTTTCTCCAACATCATCATTATTCATCACAATGGTTTAAAAAGCACCTGATTTGCCTGGCGATGTTAGCTGTCAGTACTAGTTTTCTCTCTCTTTCTCAACATCCTCACTCATATTTCCTGCTATTTACAACCCATGGGTTGTCACCCTGCCACATCAAAATAACCACGTCAAAGGCTGAACTTGTCTTCCTTCCCAAGACCTTTTCCCTTCCAGGTTTCCCAGTTTTCCTAGTCAAACTTCCTATCCTGCTCCCAGAGTTCTCCAGCTCTAGCTCCTTTATTCCCATAGCTATTAAAGTATTACACGTGTTCACTTCTGCAGGTGGAGTTCACAGTGTCCGCCCTATTTGTGCACTTTAATGCATGTACCCTATTTTTTATTTTACAAATCAGTGGTGTCCCCCTACTGTGTGAGCTACTAGAATAGAGGGATGTTACTGGTTCAGTTCTATAAACATTATAAAGATATAGCATTGGCCCTGACTGGTTTGGCTCAGTGGATAGAGCGTCGGCCTGCGGACTGAGGGGTCCCGGGTTCGATTCCGGTCAAGGGCATGTACCTGGGTTGCGGGCACATACCCAGTAGGGAGTGTGCAGGAGGCAGCTGAATCGATGTTTCTCTCTCATCGATGTTTCTAGCTCTCTATCCCTCTCCCTTCCTCTCTGTAAAAAAATCAATAAAAATATATTTTTTTAAAAAAAAGATATAGCATTGGTGGTAGTGCCAGCCTGTCACCTTTCTCGCCAATCTTGAATGTGGACACGGAGGTTATTTTTCCAATGCTTGGCTTCTACTACTGGATTGCCCAACTATAAACTATGTGATGGGATTCCAGTGCTGTCTGCCTCAGTTGTCTATCTCAGACCCTGCCAAAGGCACATGGAGCCCAGCTTAGGAAAGGTGTCACTCTGTGGTTATTGCAACTGTAAAACAATAAATCCACAGCCATATTTTGGTTCAATTTCCTGATCTCTGAAAACTACAGTCTGTATAATGATTATTTCCTGGACTGTCTTACCTACTTTACAGGTTTATTATGAAAACGGTAGAAATCATTTGTATACAGTGTTTTTGATAAGTGAAAATTGAGTGTATGAATGTAAGATAACAATGGTACTCTATTGCCTTATTTCCCTTGCTTAGTTTTTTGGATCCATCTGGTGTTTTATAACCAAGTTTCTTTTGTCCCCGTCCCTTTTTCTGGTTCAGCCCTAGCCTATACTATTCTTATTGTTATCAAAATAGCTTCTTTTACTTCTTAAACGAGGATCCACCCTTCCCCTCTTTCAAAGCACAGTTCAGAGGCACCTCCTGTGGAAAAAGTTCCCAGTCTTGCAGAAGGAAATGATAATTTTTTTTAAAAAAGAATCAACCAATGAATGCATAAGTGGAACAAGAAATCAATGTTTTTTCTCTCTCTCACTCCCCCCTTCTCTTTAAAAAGATCAATTAAAAATTTTTAAATGTTTGCACAAATGTGATATATTAAACTTTTTAAAAATATATTTTTATTGATGTCATTGAGGAAGGGAGAGGAAGAGAGAGAGAGAGAGAAACATCAATGATGAGAGAGAATCATTGATCAGCTGCCTCCTGTACAACCCACATTGGGGATCGAGCCCCCAACCTGGATGGAGCCCTTGACCAGAATCGAACCTGGGACCCTTCAGTCCACAGGCTGACGCTCTATCCATTGAGCCAACCCAGCTAGGGCTAAAGTTGTTAAATGAAGAAATTAAGAATGGCTTTCTCA